CCCCATCCACCCTCCGACTCCATCTCTTTGGGCCACTTAAAGATGCTATCCGCGGAACAAGGTTTGAAGATGACGAGAGCGTGATTCAAGCAGTGAGGACATGGCTACGTGCACAGGACAAGAGCTGGTACCGGCAAGGCATGCATGCTCTTGTTCCACACTGGCGTAAAACCGTACAAGTTGATGGGGACTAAGTGAAAAAATAGTATGTGTAAAGGAAACATTGATTTATATTGTCACTAAATTTCAGCCATCTTGAATAAATATATTCTGAGGAAAAAAATGTGGGGTATTACTTAATGAGCGACCCTCGTACTTGGAGTCACAAAAATGGCTTATGCTATGAGTACAGTATAAAGCGAACAACATAGTATAAAGATAGGAACTGACTCTGCAATGAATGGAATGGGCAGCAGACTAATGAACCAACTGGCCAATCAATGGTCAGCTCCACTACTACCAAACCTTGTCACTAGGCACAGTCTTCAGCAAAAGAATGTGGATATGAGCCGAGACTGTTTTTTGGTCACTTGATGATGTTTTATTTCAGAGGTTATATAGCACTTCATGTTACTGAGGCTGCAATGACCTTATCTAATTGTGATATCGCACCACTAGCCTGAAAAATATTAGTCAATAAAGCTGGTAACCTAGGTACCTCCCAAACATAATTTTAAGAGTATTATCACTGCACATGGTAAAACCAACCCAACAGCGTTTCCTAGCTTGAAACAACATTTTTAACCCATTGTTTCTAGCTATTTTTGTATTCTTAGCACGTCAACTCCAGAATCATAGACAATTTACATTGAATTTGGCATGAACATTATGCCACTGCAGCATACTCCAAAATCATACATTTCAACTTCCTAAAATTAGTTATGCTAGGTTAGATCAGGTTCTATAAAACTGGGCTAGGATAAATCAGTGTAGGTTAGACTAGGATAGGTTACTTAATACTGCCAACATTTTTAACAAACATATTTTTCAGAGGTAGGAAAATTTAAAATTCAAAATTTGCAAATGACACATGCGGAAATTCTGTGCATTTCCATACGGATTACACGTTTTATTCTTATTTTGTAAACCTGCAGCCATCCTTCACTCATGTAAGCCTTCTGTTCCTTCCAATCCCAGAGAACATGTGCCATGCCAACAAGAAAGCAATAAACTATAAAATACTTAATTATTCTTCTGACAAAAGTAAATAATGGCACTTAAAGTTGGTATAAAAATTTGTAGCCACATCAAATACATACTTGTTGGACTTCGGGAGAGGTTAAGTTGTTCTCGTTCATCACAGATGAGGATCGACTTTTACGAAGAACAGACTTCTGCTTTTGCTGCACTAGATGTTCTACTAGTCGACCTATGCAAAATCAAGGCCAGATATTAACTAACTAGATGGTTTACCGAACCCGAAGGTTCATCACCGAATTAACCAAATCCCTCCACCGGACCCTGGGCCAACACAATCCAGTCTCCTTCAACTCCAATCTCCCATAGATCCTGCCTGACATCCTCCCATCTACGCCTAGGTCTCCCCAGCACCGTTACGAAAAAATATAATAAACCCAAGCTCATGAGTTCTAATTCAAGGGCCACACAGAAAATTTGCATTAATACTGTCTATATTACATTTCTAGACAACTGCTGTCTGCATTTTATCATGAAAAGAATATAATTACAACTTGACATTCCTTGGCTCATCACAGTTCTTCTGAAAACAACAGAATAAAAATAGAGAGGCAGCCATGCAAGAGCTATTCAATTATGAGCAGTCAATCTAGTCCCAGCATCAGGACATTAAGAATAAAGTGATACCAAGCTGGCCAATACCACAGCTCAGAAACAGAAATGTGATTTCTAGCTAAACATTAAGGATAGTCTGCTAAAGAAGGTTAGGAGGAACAGCAACATGGCTCAAAGTTAATATTTGTTATTTGTAAATTATGTCATGTCACTTGAATAAGGTAAAGGGTGTGGGTAAATAAATTGACTGCTTCTACTACAATTCTGTTTATGATGGAATATGACAGTTGGCAAACACATACGATACAGACACATTCAAATACATGTTACATACTGACTAAATACTATCTGCCAGAACTGCCATGTTGCATATAAAATCCCAAAATACTCCTACCACAAGGCTGCAGGTACCATTTTAAAGGCTGATTTGAAAAAAATTGCTGCTTCAAGTTCTGTCAATTTGTCTTAGATAAATGTCTGAACTAAAAATTCCAATAAACTCTTGAAACTGTTCTATTTACTAGCATCATAGCTTTCGGTATATTTTCCAAGGAATCGTGTTAAAAAATGTAAAGTGCCCCATATATCTTAATTATCGATACCCTCAGTCAATGATATCTTGTCTTTCAACAAGCACCTACCTCTTGCCCACAGAACACTTCCAAGTAAAACCTATGTCATACAAAACCCAAATAAGGATGTCTACTGACATGAAAACTATTCTTTATTTTAATGCAACATGCAATTTCTTACAAATAACAACTTTTTCCTTAGAGATGTTGACCTCAGCTTTCTTCTTTTTTGGACTTCACTTTCTAGGGGTGAATCTAACATACCTTCTGGCTGATTTGCCTGCTCCATTTTAATTATCTGAATCATTCTTCTAGTCACACCAGTAAATAAACAAGCCCTTTTAATAGAGGCAGTAAATGGAGGTAACAATCTACCCTCCTCACACTCTTCTAGATATCTCTGTATGAAGCCATTAATATCATTTTGTTCTTTACTGTGGATACAATGCTTTCTTATCTCTGATGGTCCTGCAGCTTCAGAATCTCCTGTTCCTGACAATGAAGAAACTAATATGAAATATTTTCATAACCACCCATTCAAATGCAACCTAACAGTTTAGAGGAATTTTGACAACTGAGGCATGCATTTAGGTAATGTTTCTGAAAAATATGGTAGCATAAGCCACTGCACGCATGCTATATTTTCAGTCTTGCCTCAATCTCTCACATACTGTAACATGGCAATCATGACAGACGCTTAATATAGCCTAAAACAGTGCAGATAGCAATCATAGCCTCAGCACATATTGGATCTGGCACTAAAATTAAATTTAAAATATCCAACACCACAGATACAGAACATTATCCTCGCTAACCTAAATTTCAAGAAAAACTATGCATATACATATTCCTATAACATCCAATCATCTATGATATGATCTTCCAAGTTGCTTCTTTCAAGAGGCTCATCATTCAGAATTTTATCTTTTCCTCTTTTTATTAACCAAGTCCTTAATCTATTGGTTATTATGCACATGGTCAAAGCACTCCCTCTTAAAGACACAACAGATTTGTCACAGTAGTCATGAAAAACCAACACTGGAGTATATCCTGTCCCAAACCATACCTTCAAAATCTAATTTTTAATTCATTTTTAATATCATCTTCTCAGCTATAGGGTAACTGAAAAGTCACACAACCCATTCCTAACATATGTTCTATTTGTCAAAAGATGAATTATACTGAAATACAATAACAAAAACCAGTGTTATATCAAGTGTCATAAATGTGCATGTACAGCTATATATATAAACTCACTCCTTTCCTCATGTTTGACGTAACATGGTGAAGAGTTTCTTCAGTGTCACAGAGATATTGTGTGTTTACTAATCCAATCAAATTGTACCAAATTGCAACCATGAATAAATACTTTAATATAGGTTGTGCAACTCTTCAATCACCTTGCATGTCTAGGTCTTATGAGCAGTCTTTTCCTTTGCCACCAAATAGCATTTCTAGTTTCCCCTGATTACTACTGTATGTCACATACCTGTCAACATTAAACTTACACACTTTTTTATGAATAAACATTCTGAACTAAATTAAACTCACGGTCTGCACAGCAATAAAAATGTGGTCTTCTAGGCTGTGAAGCCATAGAGTACCGTACATGGTTAAGAGTTAACATTCTTTCAAAAGCCCACCTGCTTGGCTACCAGCAGATTTGGCCGCTACCATGGTCTGGTTGGCATTAACCTGAAGATCATCCTGAGAAACCACCCTGACTGCCTCAGGTACTTCATGGAGCCCTCCTGTGCTTGACACAGCTCCAGTTACAGTCTGGGTCTGGGCACCACTCACTCCTGCTGCCACTGTCGTATTGTGAGGGTGAGGAGTAGTCATCATGATTGAATGAGGGTAGTCCAGGAGAAGCTGCACTACACTCGTATGTCCACCCTTAGCTGCCTCGATCAGCATTGTTGAATTGTCCTGCACAAACAAATCTTGCATTTACTATACTGTGTACCTCTTCTTCAATTTGTCGATAAAACTTGCTTGATGTTAATATATCGATACCATGTGTGGCAAGACCATGCACACTGAATTTGTCAGAGCTGATAATACTAGTCTTACTGAAAATATTTGCTGAAAACAAAATATATTTATTGCTCAAGTTATACTGCCATCCTCTGTTTAATACTCTGCTTTTTTCTTAATTTTGTACAAGCAAGGATAATTATAAGATCAAAAATTATTTATTTTACAGGAGTTCTGCCTCTGTCCACAGCCTAATATTCTTAAAAGAACACATTTCTGAAATTAGATCTGTTTCTGTCCTCAGATGAAAAGTACAGAATGCACACAAATGTGGCAGTAAGAGTTAAACTTAACCACTGGACGACTAATCAGTCAACTAAATCTATATAATAAATAATACCATCCGTAAAGAAGGATGGTTGGAGAATTGAACATGTACTGAATATTCTTGCAACAGACATAACAATAAGTGAA